AATAAATCCTATTTCTTGGAACCACCGCCTTTCCTCTGGGGCTAGCCATATGGTACATGTTTTTCAAATAAACCCCTTGTAATAGGGAAGAATAAATCTGACTCCACACTGAATCTGTTTCTTTTACTTTAACCTTTGTATTCTATTGCTTTCGCTACAAGAATGTTGCCTATAACCTGAAATACACAGGCTAGCCCATTCTCAAGGCTCTGACCTTTGAAGGACAGCACTTTTCATTCACATAGAGATAAAAAGTCGCAGAGGCTGCAGAACAGAGAATAAGCATTTGTCTTGTTAGAGGTTTACAGGAACATCGTGACCTTCATCCACAGCTGAAAGAGCAAAGGATTCCAGCACCAAGAAGTTTGCCGTCGCCAACCACACCTCCTCCCCTTTTAGTGTAAAAGAAGCCTGAATTCAAATTCAGGTAAGATGGCTCTTTGGGATTCTAGTCCACTGTCTTCTCAGTCTGCTGGCTTTCCGAATAAAGTCACTATTCCTTGCTCCAACAATTCGTCTCTCAACTTACTGGCCTGTCGGGCAGCAAGCAGTACGAGGTTGCACTTGGCAACATACCAAGGAGCCCTATGAGCTCAAGGACCACATCCGTCTCTTTCACAATGGGTCCTCAGGGCAAGCCCAGGGCCTGGCCTCGTGGGCTGAGTGAATGACATCCTGCTTTACAGTCAATATCTGCTTGTGCATCCACATCCAATACCCACCCTGCAAAGGCTGCACACTAGGCTGCCCTAGGGGGCATTTAATACACAAATGCCTAGGCCTTCTCCCCAGAGATTCTGGTGGAATTGATTTGAGGTGGGGTCTGGACACTGATATTGACTTTTAAGTACTCCAGGTGACCCCGATAGGCAACCAGCATTGAAAAGCACGGCTCTAAACCTACAGATGGTCCCCACGTTGTGCATCCCCTTCGTGATGGGAGGAAGCTGGGAACTTTAAATTCCTACTGCCTGAAACACAGCGTAATCTCGCCTCTGTAATTCTGCGTCATGTATTATCCTGGTATATCAGACATCTTGCCCCAACGCCAGGTCGCTTATGTGTGAAATGATTAACTTAGACGAGGTGTCCTAGACGGTCAGAATCCAAAGATCAGATCATTACTGGGGTTTGTTATGGGCTGAACTGTGTCTCTCTTCCACATTCATATGGTACTAACCCCTAAAACCTCAGAATGTGACTGCGTTTGGAGATCAGGTCTTTGAAGTGACAATTAAGCTAAAATGAGGTCATTAGGTGGGTCCTAAGCCAATAATCCAGTATGAGTGTTACCCTTTTAAGAGATTAAGACGCAGACACACAGATCCCTACGAAAGGCCACAGAAGAAACCAGCCTTCCAGACTCAGGATCTCAGACTTCTAGTCTCCCAAATCGTGAGGAAATAAACTTCCGTTGTTAAAGACATCCTGTGGTGCTTTATGGCAGCCCTAGCAGATTAACATGGGGCACAAAATAGCTCCTGGGTTATCTTTCTTTGGAAGATTCTAACCAGGGCCAGTATCTGGGCATCCCATACCCTCTGTGGTTCTCTACTTTGGGCCACTCCTCCCCTTCGGAGCACACCCAGCCCCTTCTTTCCTCCTCTGTCTGTCACCCTCATCCAGAGGTCCCCCACCCACCCACCCAGTTGTGTGGGCCGGGGCCTCCTGACGGTGACCACATGCCACACGGGAGCATCTGCACCTAGGTGAGCATCTCATTCACTCATCTACAGGCTTTGCTACCATCTCCCCTCATCCTCAGACCTCTCCTGAAAGGGAGGTATTGTCCCAGTTCCTCAGATGAGAAAAGTGAGGCTCTAAGATGTGGCAATATCTCTGACATTTCACACCAGTTCCATTCCAACGCCCGGCCTCCTTCCTGCCTCCCCACCACCCAGGCCCCCCCACTTCATCCCAGGGAGACTACAGAGAGTGAGGGCCTTCCTGCCTTGTTCTCCGCTGCCCACACACTCACAGCCCCAAACAGTAAGCATGTGCTGGGTGAACAGGTGCACAACATGCAACCTGGTGGGCTTTCCTAACCCATCTGGGCTCCTCCCATTTCTCCACTGCACTCCCTCCCCTCAGGGACCCCACTCTTACCAAACAGAGCCCCAGCTCCTTGTCCAGAATTCCAGACTCGCCAATACCATTGGCCATTACTGCATGCTAGGCTCTCCCTGCTCTCCACAGCCCCCTCTGCTTTCCTACAGGGACTTTTTCAAACCATTAGGACTTTCGAAGGATTTAGCAGGAAGCTTGTTGATTTGTTAAATTCACCTAGGCTTTAGAGCTTCTCTGATGGGTGAGAATTGCTGAATGCAAGTTAAACTGTCTTCTGATAATCTTACGCCTCAAGGCAGCATCAGACTCTGCATCTGCTGGGAGCTTATTGAAGATACAGAATCTCCCTCCGTGTCACCCACACACATGCTGAGTCAGAATCTGCATTTAGGTGAGACTCCTAGAACAGGTTCTCAGCTGACTGCACACCAGAGCCATCTGGGGAGCTTTCAGGTTCCTGATGCTTGGGTGCTACCCCAGGGATTCGGGTCTCGGGGAAGGCCTGGGAAACCCTGGGGAGTCCAATGTGCCGACACAGCGTGACCTGGGAGGATTCTGGGAGCAGCACCAGAAATAAGCCCTGTCCTGTATTCCCGATCAGGGGTGAGAATTGGCAGTTTCTGAACATTGTAGGAGGGACCTCACACTCCAGTTTGCCACGTGTCTTATATAGATTGAAGGTCTGCAGGGGCCGGGCAGGTCTAAAGTCAGAAGCCCCACCCAATCAATAAGCATTGCCTTTGGTATGAGCAGACCCTCCTGTAACCACTGGCTCACAGATCTGGTCATTAACTCCCCTGCTGCTGAGAGGTGACTCCCTAGAACCTGCGAGTGGGCAGGGAGCAATGTGGCACTACTGATTAAAAGTTCGTTTTCTTTGTCACAGCAACCCACTCCAGAAACACTCACACGGCTGTACAGATACAAACAGAAAGCAGCCACAAGGAGCTTTGTTTAAAGTGAAAAACTGTTCACAATATATGTAAATCAAACCATCACGCTGTATGCCTTAAACTTACACAGTGGTGTATGTCATTTCTCAGTAAAACTGGGGGGAAAGACAATGCTATTAGCATTATGCTCCACTTCTAAAAGAAAGTGAAACTAGAAACAACTCAAATGTTCCCTGATGTGAAATTATATTCTTACAATGAAATACTATACTCATTAGAGTGAGAAATCAAATTCATATTTTATGGCAAGTCAAGAAAAATGTAAACATGAAAGTTTTCCTCTGCCTTTTGGTCTCCTCGCCCCTCTACTGTGTGTTGCTTATCTGCATTTTGCATCGACCAAACCTCCCCAAATTGGCAGAAATAACTGCTCAACCACAAACAGCAACATTTTCTAGCAACACCAAGACAACTTCTTACTCTTACAAGGGGCCCATGACCCACCACTTGCTAGAATGTGTAAACTGTCAATAATACGCCATCTAATGTACAGCCCTGTCTCAAAAAACTTGTATAACTGTGTTTTGACTTCTAACGTGTAGAATGGTTTTCAGAGCTTTCTGAGAGGCTGTCCCCGTGTTGTAATCCTCAATTTGGTTTGAATAAAATTTTCCATTTCTTTCTTAGATTGACTGATTAATTTTTCATCAATAAGAGAATGAGATAAACATATAATTACAGATATAGAAAAGCATCCAAACTATACTGTTTGGATGAAAAAACACAAACAAACAAACAAAAAAACAAAACAGAAGGTTGCATAAAACCATGAATAAGGATACTTTAATAAAAATGGTAAATACCAGTATACACATGGGAAAAAAGCAGTTATTTTAATAGGGGAGAAAGCAGAGACTTTCTTTTTATAATTTCTATTTTTCTAGAGATTACCAGATTCGCCCAAATGTTCTTAGGAAACACATGAAAAAAACCAAGAACATTCTCAAGAGAGCTTAAAAATATGAGGTAATTAACACTGAAGTAATCATGTACTGGTCCCAAGGTAGACTTTTTAAATATGAGCTTTATTTTAAATTTAAAGAAAGATTGGAAATAAGCACTCTTTACAAATGATACCAAACACTTAAAACATAATCTAGGAATGTTAAACATTAATTCTTAATTCAGAATAATGACATTCATAGAATTCACCCTGGTGTTGGTCAATATGGAGTCTCCTTAAATCCAATATTTCATATTAGCTTAACCACTAATACTTCCTAAAATTCAATGATTATGATCCAACTTTCTAAGGTTAGGTAATAAGTCTTCTATGCAATACCCTCATATAACTTTTTCAAATACAAACATTTATACCAGCAGGGAAATTATAAAAACATATATAAACTATGCTGAAAGGCTTGATTAGAAGGCCGTCTATATACAGAGAGATGCATCGCACCTCAGAAAGCACACGTGCACACAAAACCCTTAATCAGGCACAGATGCCAGGACACTCTCTGAGTTACATTACACAGCAAACGGCATGTTTATAAATGTCATTCTATTACATATGAACTGAATAATAATATATCTTTTTAAGAAGCCCTTGACCCAGGGAGTGGAGTATGTCTGTGCTAAGCATAGAAGCGCAGAGCTTTGCACAGGAGGTCAACGAACTGCCCGTCTCCAGCTGGCTCCCAGGCACCACTGAAAACTGTCCGCACCCTCAGAAAGACAGGATGGTCTTGTTAATGATTTCCACGGACTCCTGAATCTCATCCTCCCCGATCACGAGCGGAGGTGCAAGCCTGATGATGTCGCCGTGGGTTGGCTTGGCCAGAAGTCCATTATCTCGAAGTCGCAGACACACCTTCCAAGCATCATAATCTGAAGAAAAGACGTCAAACATAATATGCTGATCAAAGCCAGATGTTTAAACATTGTCTCGTAGCATGTGTGGGCAAGGGCAGCCTGGCAAGATAGAATTCCCAGTGCCTACTCAAGAAAGGTAGCGCCGAGCTGCAAGCTTGC